CTCCGGGCGGCGGGCCGCCGTAGCCCGCGGGCGGCGGGCCGCCGTAGCCGCCGTAGCCCGGCGGGGGGCCGCCGTAGCCAGGGGGGGCGCCGCCGTAGCCGGGCGGGGGGCCTCACATCTCGGCGGTTCAGAGGGGGTCCCGAGGGATGGGGGCCCAAGGATAAGAAGACCCCCATCCCTCGGGACCCCCATCTCTGAACCACCGTTCATCTTCGGCTACACGCGAGAGTGACCCTGGGTAAGAGCGACCTCTGGTGCGCGGCTTTTCGGTGGCCGCCGGGAGCGGAGAAAACACAAGCGCGCAAGACGCTACTACCGCATCGCGTTCGGCGATCGGGGGACCCCATTGAGCCCGCGCCCAAAGGTCACTCCGGCGAAAGGTCACTCTGACGTGTAGTCGACACCGACCATCTGCCCGCCATCGCCGCCGCCGCCGGCGTCGCCTTCGTCGCCGGCGCCGCTGGCGCCCTCACAGGCGCCGCCTTCGCCTTCGCCGCCATCGCCGTCGCCATCGTCGCCGCCCGCCGCCGTCGGCGCCGGCGCCTGCCGACGTCGGATCGAACCGCCGACTTCGGATAAAACACAGCCGCAGGCTCAAGACTGTGCCGAACCAAAACGGGTTGAACCAGATAGGCCCAAAGAAAGCCCCAAGAGGGCCTCAAGAGTGCCCCAGGAGGCTCCGCGAGGACCCCAGGACGTCCCCAACAGACCTCCGAGCAAACGCTTCCAAGGCAGTTGTTACACTGCACTCTTCTACACGTCCCTGATCAAGGCAACTCGCCTGGCGATCTGCTTCTGGATGGGCGGGTGGGGATACTTTTTGTTGGTACGCTGGCGCGCGAAGACGAGTCGAACGCCGTGCAAGCTGAGGCGGGCCGCGCCGAAGTCAAGGGGAAAACAACGAGCGAATGGGCGGGTGGGGATATGCGAACCGTCAAGAATTAAAACGGGTTGAACCTAATCAAGCGTGATTAAGCGAAACGATGCGGAACTATACCAGATTCGGCACGTTGCTCGACCACGGGCATACCAACGACGATGCTGAATCCCACCAACCCTTCGGTGCGCAGGTGACTCAGGGCGCTTCTTGTTCCGACCGTCATCTTCCCCTTCGGGGAGGGGGGGTTCTACACCCCCTCCCCCGCTTAACAGGCCACAACCCCGGGGCAATGACGCCCCTCCCTCGCCATCCCTGTCGAAATGTCGAAAGCCAATGCCAAGCGCGTCAAACGCGCACTGCGGCGAAATCTGGACCGTGCGCGGGCAGCCCGTGATCACTTGGCATCGTTTCTGACAGGGCCGGCGAAGGTGCCCTCGCATTGCCAGCTGTGTGCAGTGGCAGCACCCCCCCCACCAATGCCAACAGCCCTCCACGATCCCCCTTGCACAGGAACAATACAAAATGCTCTTTGCACCAAAACCCGGATCATGCGCGCGCGCCTTGCGATCACCTTGCATTGTTTCTGTTGAGCCGGCGGGGGGGGGGGCAGCCTACTGCCTGGTGCGTGCAGCCCCACCATCCCCTTCAAAAAGAAGTACAAAGTGCACTTCGCCAGGGACGGCGGGGGGTCCGCATATCGTCTGCTGAGTGCAGCCTCACCATCCCCGTCAGAAACAGGGGCAAAATGATTGTGGGCGCACAAACGCACAATACACAATGCTGGCAACCCCGCCGGCACATTGCAACGGTTTATGACAAGGAAGATAGGGGGTCAGCATGTTGCCCAATATGGCGCCCCTGTGCGCGTGGCACACATTCCATGTGCAACGCACCTCACCTCTCGGGGTTCGCGTACGTGGCTGGCGTCTGTATTGATTCCCGATGGTTGTCAAGTGCGGCCCCTGCATACGCTGAGACCCGGAAGTTAATGTAGTGGGAAGGCGGGCGGGTGGGAGGAAGGGAGACGGCTTGCAGCACTATCTCTGCGCTGGGATCTTGACCCCTCCCCCGACCCCCTGCTAGATGGTCTGGACGGAAGAGGCCGCGGCCCAATGGGGTGTGTAAGAAGGCATCAGCGAGATGGCAACCACCATTGCTTTTTGTTTCGTCATTGTTGGTCCAATGTTGGCCTCCTTGCGGGGGGGAGGACGCTATCTCAGAGTCCCCCCTTCTTGGAACAATAGCCTCCCAATTGATCTCAAGACGGCCCGGAAAGCCCTCACGAGAGCCCCAACAGGCCCCCGAGAGGCCCCACGAGGCCCCCAAGGGGCCCCCAAGAGGCACTCAAGACGCCCCAAGATGCCACGAAGTGCCAGCAAGCGGCCCGCGAGTCTCCCCAAGATGCCTCGACTCGGCCTTCAAAAATCAGCCCAAGAGACCCAAGGAGACATCCATGAGGCCTCTGGCCTCTGAACCACAGGTGCCCCCGATATCTCCAAGCGATGCCGCGCTACCCCGTTCAGGGCAGCTCTTTCGGGCATCGTTGAAGGGGCCCCAGGACACACAAATAAATACACACAAATAAAAAGCATCCCCATGTTTTTCCATATTTTCTGGGTTTTTGTCTTCCCCCCACTTCCCATATTTTCCCATATTTTCTGGGAATCGACGATTAATTGTGTCTGTGTGTTTTTTTCCCTCCTGAATCGTGCATGGATGGGCTGGTTGGGAGCCGCGAAGCGCTCAGAATGAAGCATTCCAGGGGAGGCTGCATCCCATCTGCTCCGTGGGGAGATCACGACTCTGGAGTGACTACCTACCCGAACCACCCCAACCCAACCTGAAGACCCCGAATTTCGGGTTGGGGGGCGCACGGGCTTCACGTGTGTTGCTTCGATGTTCCCCGTCCCCCCCCCCCCACTGGAAATGGAGGGCAAACTGGGGCCTTCGGGTTGGGTTGGGGTGGTTTGGTGGGCGGTGATGGAGGGCTCCCTGCGCATCTGCTTGCCGACCCGGGGGGGGACTTTTACTCCCCTCCGTGCCCCGGCGGCGGCGCCCGATGCCCTGGCGTGGCCCTGGACCTCTCCCGCAGCGCATTCTGGCCGGGACCGCGAGGCGAATCCAGCCGTGGCGAAGCGCGCCCTCCAGGAAGGGGCAGCGGCATCGACATCCTTTCCTTCTCGGTCGTCTGAAACTCGTCGACGAGCCCGGGGGGGGGAAGGACAAGTGGCGGGCCTTCTCGGGAGGCAGGGAAGTCCCCTGGCCTTCGGAGAAGTTGCCGAAGCCTGCCCCGAAGACGCAGAAGACCCCCTCCTTCCGAAGGCGCGGGGGCTCCTGAGAAGTCCCGCCGCCTTCTGAGAAGGTCTTCTCCTTCTCACTTTAAAACAGGGCTATGATCGGGATAAATCGCTCCAGAGCGTTCCGGAGCGCTCTCAGAGCGTTCCGGAACGCTCTGGAGCGGCCGCGGTGCCCAATACATCCTCCAAACCCGCCGATTCTCCGAGATTTCGAGTTATCCCGATCCGATTTTGTCCCGATCTTCGCGTCGTTTTACACTTCCCCCCCTCGCTCTCGCCGCCGAGACATGAAGCAACTGGCTCCCCCTCCTTCACTCCCCGCACGAGCTCCCGGCCTCCGTAGCCGGGCGGCGGCATCCCGTACCTTGGCACGGCCGTGCCGAGGGGGGAGCACACGGAGGAGAGGCGGCCGGTCTGAGCTGGGGGGGCTGCATCTCACGAGCAGAGCGCCGAGATGACAGCAACTCCGTCGCTCTCGTCGCTGCCTGGAATTCTGAACATATGCCGCGCGCCCCCTTGACAGAACACAACGTGCACACGCTGCAACATGCTTTCTTGTACGCATGCTGCTTTTATTCGAGCAACTGGTCGGTCTGTACATGTGCGTAGTGTCGTAGCCCAGTTGAACGTATTCTGCACCGCGTATCCTCTTGTGGGGCATGGCGAAAATGTCCGGGACTGAGATGCACGCACACGGCTGGCGAATCGCAGGATACGTTTCTCGCAACATCTGCCCACCCAAACACATGGCCGTATTGTTTGAGTTGGCGGGTATCGGGCTCACATCGAAAACTTGTTGGATTGCCATACCGAATGTACATGTAACTTCAGACGGCCAGGGGCACCCGCAAAGAAGAAGCCCGAAGATCGCGAGTCTCCACCCCCCCTTAATGCGGGACGGGAAAATGACCACAACCACTGCATCTTGCTTGCGCCGCCTTCCAGCTGGCCGAAAAAGAAGCAGTGGTTGTGGTCATTTCTTTGGTGCCAAGCTCAACGAAAATGACCACAACCACTGCTTCGTTTCTGCGGGCTGGAAGGCGGCAACAAAAGAAAAGCAGTGGCTGTGGTCGTTTTCACGCCCCGTACTAAAAGAGCCCCACCTGACGTTGCCCCTGAGATGCGAACCCCGCTTCAGACTTCACGACGAGTGTGCACGACGCCGTGGTCCTACGCACCGCGCTCTCGAGCCTGGCGTGTGGGGGGGGACGGGTCAGAGAGCCGACCCCGCCTTAGGACTCGTAGACTGGTGATGATCGTGAGAAGCCCCTCTACCCGAAGGGCTGAATCCTCTCTCCAGCGCGTCCATAGCTGATCCGAACTGCCGATCGGTGACCAAAGGAGGCGGAGGGATAGGGCTCACGCTGCAACGTGAACAGTATCATTGAAATGCGAAACACGTTATGGTAAGACGAGCCTTATCGAAAACAAGCTCGGGACAATGCCGTGTGCACACACATGTATACGAGATAGGCGGGAATCAACCACACACACACACGCACACACACACACACGCAGAATCAGGGAAGACAAGAGAGTGGCTTGCACATGTAACATGTGCCAGCAGCGAGAGAGGAAGAGAGAGAGAGGGAGAGAACGAGAGAGAAAGAGAGAGCTAGGCAGAGAGAGGGAGCGAGAGGGAAAGGGCTAGAGAGAGAACACAATACATACATGAACATATTTGTATACTGAGAGTGGGAGAGAGACACATGAGAGCGAGAGGAACTTGTGAGACGGATGGGGCGGTATCGAGACATATTTATACAGGGAGCACAAGAAATATACATCTATGTGTGTATATATAGATATACAAATTTAGAAAGAGAGAGCAAGATAAAGAGGGAGATAACGATCTATATATATGAGGGATCAAAACATAGAGAGATACTATAGAGAAACATATAGAGATGGAGAGATGGAACACGAGAGGGGGAGAGAGTGGGAATGAGATAGAGCGGAGGAGCCAGAGAGAGAGAGAGAGAGATGAATAGAGAGGGTGGGAGAGAGAGAGAGAGAGAGAGCGAAGGAGAGAGGGAGAGAAACGCAATCTATATATATATATACACAGAGAGAGAGGCAGCGGGGGAGAGGGGAAGAGAGAGAGAGAGAGAAAAAGAGAGATATTGAGATAACAAACTAGGGGAGAACAGAAAAGAGAACGAGAGACAGAAAGAGACAGAGAGTGGAGGGGGACAGAGAGAACGACGATGAGAAGGAATGAGAGAGAGAGAGAGAGCGAGAGACAGAGAGGCAGCGAGCGAGGATGATGACAAAGGAGACGGGGAAAATCTTGGGCCCGGGCCCTCCGTACCCTGGCGGCGGCATGCCGTACCCGGGCGGCGGCATGCCGTACCCGCCGCCGTAGCCCGGGCCTCCCATGGAGAGGGGCGCGGCCGCGAGAGAAAGGGCTCCTCGCCGTCGGCGTCAGCGTGGTCGTGGTCGCCGTCGTCCTCCAGTCGGAGGTGTAGTCATCCTCCTCGTCGGCGTCGTCGTGGTCGCGATCCTCGTCGTCGTCGTCGTCGTGGTCGTGCATCCGCCCCCCCTTCGGCCGACGAGAGCTACAGCAGCTATCCTGGCGGGACTCCTGGGTGCAAGCTCGTACCTTATCACACACCTCGGGCTCCTGGCAGGGCCGTTCAAGATTCAGGAGGGGAAGCCCATGACGAGTCCATTTCATTACAGAAGCAACCGTGTATGACTTTCTCGTCTCCGACAAGCGTATGGTTAATTACTAAACAGTTTGGCTTGGAACTTTCGTTTGTTCCCAACCATCCTGTGGTGTTAGGTCCTTGGTTTGAAGAGACGGCGCTCAACGTTGGTCTTTCTCTTCTCCTTCTCCCCCCCCTCCGTCCTCCTCCCATCGCTGCCTTTGTACTCCGCGTGTCGCTATTTCGGCACACACACACACACACACCTCAGTGGTAGCGCCCGCATGCAGTTCCACCCTTGCAATTTCACACGTTTCGCGGCCGAAGAGGGTGCTTCACCAGTGGCCCAGGTGGCAGCGCCCGCATGCAGTTCCACCCCCCCAATTCGGCGAAACCCTAGCACGCTTCGTGGCCCCATATGGAGCTCCACCGAAGGCCCCAGCGGCAGCGCCCGCATGCAGTTTCACCCCAATTTCGGTGCACGCCTCACACGGTTTCACCCCAATTGCTTCATGGCTTCGTAAGGGGCTCCATCGAAGGCCCCAGTGGCAACGCCTGCCCTGCAAGCGGTTCCGCATTCCATTCCCGCCTACCCCTCACACGCTTCGTGGCCCCATAGGCAACTCCACCTCACCTGAGGCCCCAGTGGCAGCGCCCACATGGCGGCCCCGCCACATCTCGGCACAGCCCTCCCGCGCTTCGTGGCCCCAGAAGGAAACCCACCGACGGCGATACTCACAACGACGGTACCCACAACTGCATCTGGTTGGGCCCTTCGCCAGCCTTTTGCTTGTTTCTCCCTGCCAATTTTCTGTTCAGAGGCAGCCCTCGCCGCGTGGACCTGGAAGAGGCACGCGAGCAGCGGCGGCCATGATGTCCGACGCCCAACTTGGCCGAACTGCAACGACGCCCACTAGAAATTCCCCCGGGGACTTGCGGTAGAAGATCAGGAAACGGCCAAATAGAAGCACGAGGTGCACTGCCTCCGAATAAAGAGACGGCCTGAACAGCAGTTGGGCAAGATGCCTCTGAATTCTCGAGGGCGGGGGCTGGGCTTAGGTCGGGCCTGTCCTCCTACAGGCGGGTCGTGGAAGAGAACATAAAAGCGAGTCAACAAAAATACAAAAAAGTTACCGAAGATAGTTGAAACCTCGTCCACAGACTATTGTTTCACTACATGTGAATGTTCCTTCTGCAGAGGGGCATGCCCGACTGAAGGCTGGGCCTCGGATCCGACTGGTGATGTTCAAGGGCGCCTCCGCGACGGCGGCGGCCCAAGACATCCGACGCCATGGTTGTTGCTCAACACGTGGCTCCACAAAGTGCAATAGGAGTTCGATCACAAGAAGCCTTCCACAAGAAACCCAACCCTGAGACCCCGGGACGTCCACTGATTTTTGGCGTGGGAGCGTCACGCTTTCCATCGCAGAACTGGAGACAAGCAGGGTACTTATTGGCATGGACTTCCACTGTAGAATGCAAAACATAAACACCATCAAGAGAAAATCAACATCACGACAAGCGAAGCCGTGTAGTCCACACACACACACACACATACACACACCAAGAAGGGCTCGAACACGCCAAGGACTATGGAGTGCACGGCCAAGGGCGCTCAGGACGTGCCAACTGTAGGGGGGTCGGGGTGGCCTCCTCTCTTGACAGAGGTCTGGACGCCCGCCCCAGTACTGGCCGTCTCATCCTTCGGCGACGAGCAGTGTGGGGCTCAGGAAGTGAGAAAAGGGGCGGGCCGTCTCAGAAGGCTCGGAAGTCCCCCAGCCTTCTGAGAAGCCTTCTCAGCCATTCCCGAAGGAGGAGGAGGAGGAGGAGGAGGAGGAGGAGGAGGAGGAGGAGGGGGAGGGGGAGGGGGAGGTGAAGGAGGAGATAGAGGAGGAGGAGGAGGAGGAGGAGGAGGAGGAGGAGGAGGAGGAGGAGGAGGAGAAGTCCCCCAGCCTTCTGAGAAGCTTTCTCAGCCTTTTCCGAAGACGCAACTACCTCGCTCGCCGCCGAATCCTGCGTCTCTCTTCCTCGCCGCCCTGGGGCCCAGCAGTGGGTCCCCAGCGGCCGCGGAGCGACCGCGGAGGGCCTCCCGCCGCGATGTTCTCTCTCCCGCCGCGAGGATCTCTCTCGGGGGCGCCGGCGGCGGCGGCGGCGAGAGCCGAGGCCGCCTCCGAGAGGGGGGGGTCCGAGCGCATGGGGGTTGGCAGATCGCGTCGCACAGGCGATGCAAATCGGCGATGCATCGGCGACGCCTCGGCGACGTCGGCGCGGTGGAGAGCGGGATCCTCGGCGAGCCGCTATCGCCGAGGCATCGGCGAGGCGGCGCGGTGCCCCTTCTCCGCCGGCGGGCAAGATTTCTACCCAGATCTGCTGCGTCTTGGACTTGCCGGGGAGGGGCGCCACAAGGCCGAGGCGCACCGGATACGCCAACAATTCTGGCATCCAGGGACCGATTTGTGTTACGCATAAGGAAGCTGACCCTGAGAGGGGGCCACGAGCTCGATCCGTCGGTGCACCGAACTGCCGCAAACAGATGCCCCCCATGAGAGGCCTCCTGGATGGGGGCGGAGCAGATGGGGTCGGAGGATCGCGCCGCCTCGGCGATGCACCGGCGATGCATCGCCGACGCGGGCGATGCGTCCGCGACGTCGGCGTGAAGGACCTCAGGCTCCGCATCGAGCCGCAGCGGCGATGCCTCGGCGAGGCGGGGCGGTCCTCCGACCCCCGGCTGCTCCGACCCCCTCGAGGGGGCGTAGGCCCGTACAGAAACCAATCGAACTGCCCCCATCTGCGGGATCCCAGGAGCAGGAGGAGGAGGAGGAGGAGGAGGAGGAGGAGGAGGAGGAGGAGATAGAGGAGGAGGAGGAGGGAGGAGGAGGAGGAGGAGGAGGAGGAGGAGGAGGAGGAAGGAGGAGTGGGAGGAGGAGAGGAGGAGGGAGATAGAGGAGGCGGAGGAGGAGGAGGAGGAGGAGGAGGAGGAGAGGAGAGGGAGGAGGAGGAGGAGGAGGAGGAGGAGGAGGAGAGAGGAGGAGGAGGAGGAGGAGAGGAGATAGAGAGGAGGAGGAGGAGGAGGAGGAGGAGGAGGAGGAGGAGGAGGAGGAGGAGCGAGGAGGAGGAGGAGAGGCGGAGGAGAGGAGGAGGAGGAGGAGGAGGAGGAGGAGATAGAGGAGGAGGAGGAGGAGGAGAGGAGGAGGAGGAGGAGGAGGGGAGGAGGAGGAGGAGGAGGAGGAGGGGGAGGAGCAGGAGGAGGAGTAGAGGAGGAGGAGAGGAGGAGGAGAGGAGGAGGAGGAGGAGGAGGGAGGAGGAGGAGGAGGAGGGGAGGAGGGGGAGGAGGAGCAGAGAGACGGCCTCCGCGCCCGCGGCTGCGGCTGCGGCTGCGCCCGCGGCGCTCGGGGCTGCGGCTGCTCTCGTGCGAGTAGCGGCAGCGGTCGCCGCGGTCGCACCTCGCGGCGCGCGGCGGGTGCCTTGGCCTTCCGGGCTTCCTCCTGCAGCGGGATTCTGGACGAAACAACAAAACCTACCCCGAAATGTTAAGATAGTTAAGTAATTCTTGATTCTTCCCTCCCCCAGAAGTCCCCTGACTCCTTTCTGGCGATGTGTTTTCTATATTTCTCCTGTGGAAGGACGTGCCCGACTGACGCGCTGGCCTCGCGCGCGGCGCACGTGCATCCGCCCCGACGCAGAACGCTGGCACGAGGGCGGGCCCCAGAGCAGGGGCGCGGGGGAAAACACACAGCGTGTGCCAGCGCACTGCGGGCAAAGGGAAGGCTGGACGAGACGGCCGCCACTTCTCCGCGATACCGTGGGGGCCCGACCACAAGAGACCGTTTACAAGAAACCCAACCCTGAGACCCCAGGACGTCCCTTGTTTTTTTTCGCGTGGGGACGTCACCGTTTCCATAGCAAAACCATCTAAACCCGAGAAACCCAGGGCACCCTGGAGGCAAGCAGGGTGTTTCTTGGCATGGGCCCCCACTGTAAAGGCTGGACGAGATGGCCATTATTTCTCCGTGTTAGATCGTCCGCCTCGAAGAGGGGCAATGCAGAAACCGAGAAGCCGGAGAGAGGGAGGAATAAGGGAGAGGCGCAAGGGAAACACATCGGGTGCCAGCGCACTGCGGACAAGATAAGGGCTGGACGAGACGGCCATTACTTCGCCGTGTTAGATCGCGTTGGATCGCCCGCCCCGAGAAGGGACAGAGCAGAAACCGAGGAGCCGGAGGGAGGGAGGGAGGAAGAAGGGAGAGGCGAGGGGAGAGGAGCGTGAGAGGCGGCGAAGAAGGAGCCAGGGCGGCGGACTGGGGGGGGATCCCGTGGATACGCGGTCGCATGGAGTGAGCATCGTTGAACCGATCCCCATCCCAACTGGCATGGCCTCGGCCCCAACAGGCGAGTTAACTCCTCTGGTTGGGGATATAGGCTTTTGTTCCCTCCGGGTTTCGAGGGGCCCCTCCCCAAATGAGGGTGGTGGAGTGGTGGGGCTGAGAAGCCATGGCCCAATGGGATTGTCGGCTACACGCAAGAGTGACCCTGGGTAAGAGTGACCTTTGGTGCGCGGCTTTTTGGGGGCCGCGGGGGGACCAAACCTGGGCGCGCAAGCCGCTGCTCCTGCTTCGTTTTCAGCCATCTGGGGGCCCATCTGTGCCCGCACCAAAGGTCACTCTGGCGAAAGGTAACTCTTACGTCTAGTCGAGGATGGGGATACTCAACACGATGCTGATGGATAATTATGGTCCAGGCGGGGACTCTGCAACAAAAACACCCCGTGTCGACGGGCTCGCGGCCAGACGAAGCCGAGACCGGGACAGAATCGGACCCGGGACAGATCGGGGATCTCTGAGATGCGACTGTGAAAACAAATTGTTGGCGCTTCGCGCGGATTTCTGGGATCTGCGCCGGACCGCCTTCCCTGGCGCGCGGAGCGCCCCAGGGGCGGCGCCGGAGGCGCCGCCAGGGGGGGCCCAGCGCGGATCCAAGAAATCCGCGCGGAGCGACAAACGTTTATATTTATAACGTTTTTTCTGCTTCGACGCTCTGAGAAAAGCGCTCCAAAACGCTCTGGGGAAGATTGGTGTTCCAGTCCTGGGCCCACCCCAGGGGCCGCCGCACAGGCGGCGGCGAGCAGGGCGCAGCCGAGGGCAGAGTCGGAGTCGAGACCCGAGGAAGAGGGGAAGAGGCCGAGGGCAGGACGAAGCGCTGGCGGCGCGCCCAGGGGAGGGAGGGGGGGAGGCTTCTTAGAAGCAGGGCTGCCTCTCAGAGGGCGCGGGCCTCGCATCTGCAGGCAGGGCCCGCGCGCCTTCTGAGAAGCAAAGGGGTGCTCCTGCGAAGCCCGCCCCCCATCCCCTACCCCCCCCCTCCTGTGCGGGGCCGGGGGGAGGGGGCGCAGCCGACGCCAGGACGAGTCGGGGCAGAGGCTGCTCGAGGTCTCCCCGGGGAGCTGGCGGGCCCGAAGGACGCCACGTCGGGCGCTGCGGTCCTTCGGGGCGCCTTTTGCGGGGCGCTCCTTGGGGGGGGGGGCGTCCAGGCCCGTGAGCGAGGCCCGCTCTGCCCAGGCCTGCCTGCCACTGGCACCGCCCTCGGGCCCGGGGGGGGGGCGACGCCCAACCGTGCTGCATTCCTTGGGCTCAGCAGCCGCGCGGGGGGGGGAACCCAGACCTCGACGCGCTGTGAAAAAGTCACGACGGGACACATTTCTGAATGTTTTCGGCCTCCGGGGGGCCCTCTCTGGGCCCCGGGACCGTCAAACAAGACTCAGGACGAGAAACCGGTCCCAAGGAAGGGGTCCGGACGTCGGGGGTTCTGGGGAGGGCGCGACCGCGCGACAGTGCAGACTCGCCCGATCGTCTGCCAGCTCTGCGCGGACGTCGAAGGGCTGGCGCGATGCGAGTTGAGCCCGACAAGGGCATCGGCGACATGGGGGAGAGGGAGGGGGAGCAAGTCAGAGGGCGTCGACGAAGTGCAGACAGCGCCTCTTCCCGAAGATTGTGATGTGAACTTCAAACAGACGGGCGCGTTCCACTACTCGCAAAGTAACTACTCGCAAATGGCCTGGATCCACTGCGGGGGATCTTCGGTCCATTACATCGAAGCGAACGTGTTTTTGTTTCAGTCGTTTGCGAGTAGGAACTTTGCGAGTAGTGGAACGCGCTCGGTGATAAGCCACCCCCTCGGATGATTAGACACGGGCAAGTCCGCAGGAGGAGCGGGGCGGTCGCGGATCCTGCAGAATAAGATACCTGTTCCGCCACCCTTCATGCATCCTCCCGCTTGCTTATTTATCATTCCTCTTCTTCTGCTTCTTCTTCTGCCTCACGGCCTTTCTCGGCGCCCTTCCCGGCAAAAGCATCATGAGCATTGACTTCTGGAGGTCCGCTCGGATTTCTTGGATCGGCGCTTGATCCCCTCCCTGGCGCGCGGAACGCGCCAGGGGCGGTGCCAGAGGCGCCGCCAGGGGGGCCCAGCGCCGATCCAAGAAATACGGGTCGAGCTCTGAAAGGTTCTGTCGGTGCAACTGTTCCTTCCTCGCTTGCTGACGCGGGGCATCGCAATAAGAACACAGCTGGCCTGCCCCTCTTGAAGTCTCCGCACATCTCGCGACCCCTCGAATCTGTCGGACGCCCACCGCCGCCGCCGCCGCCGCCGCCACCGCCTCCGCCGTAGCCTCCGCCTCCGCCGTAGCCTCCACCGCCGCCGCCGCCACCTGGCGACGGGAGGGGGCAATACGCAGAGCGAGCCACTGAGCCAAGATGCAGTCTGCCCGTGTTGCAAGGATGCGCAGTAAGGATGCAAGGGCCTTAGAGGCCCATGTTGACGTTTTTCGAACAAGGTTAGCCAGCGAAAAACGTCAAGGATGGGCCGAATGGGCAAGGATGCAAGGGTACGCGGATTGACTGTGCAATAGACACACACGGTAAGACATGTTCTATAAAAAAAATCTTGGGCCACATTTCCCGTCGATTTTCTTCAGGGCTCCAGTGTGCCCCAGGGCGTCTGTGATGGGTCCTTCGAGCCGTCTAGGGAAACGAGATTTACGTGGGGCATCTGGGGGAAAACACGATGCCTTATTTGATGTGCCTGCTGTTTACGACGAGCGGGGAAAACGAGCGGGAAGATCAGAGTGAGGGGGCTGAACGGTCATTCATTGTCCCTGGGTGCGTCGCTGAAATGGGGATCCGTGGTGAGGGTTCTGCTTGTTGCGCTGCTGTTGTTGGTGTTGTTGTTGTTGTTGGTGTTGTTGTTCTCTGTTGTCGTCGACCCACCCGCGACCCACCCCAAGACCCACCCGCGACCCACCCCAAGACCCACCCCAAGACCCACCCGCGACCCAACCCGCGACCCACCCGCAACCCACCCGCGACCCAACCCGCGACCCACCCCAAGACCCACTTGCGACCCACCCGCGACCCACCCCGCGAAACAACCGCGACCCACCCCGCGACCCACCCGCGATCCAACAACGACACAACAACGACCCACCCGCGACCCACCCGCGACCTACCCCAATTGGCGCCTGCGGCGGGCTCTTTGTATAATTGTTGAACTTTGGCGCCTGCGGCGGGTTTCTCTAGAGTCTCGCAAACTGCCAACGTCCCCACCGCCCCCTCGCTCTTATCCGCATCTGCGGGGTGCTACGTCTTACGAGCGAGCGGAGCGATGCGACGGATACCCAGACAACCTACGTCGTGCTCGTTTTGTTGCAGCGTGGCCGATGTCTTGTTTGATGCGCCTTGTCTACGCCGAGCGGAGGCAGCGAGCCCACGAGCGAGCGGAGCGAGGCGACGGCTACCCCGACGCCCGACGCCTTGCTCTCTTTTTTGCAGCGTGGCTCCCCACGAGTAGCCACGGACCCCGTCCCGAGACTTGTGGATACCATGACAATGGACAGACACTCTAACAGTCCTACCATTGAAATAAACATGTATTTAAAATGTGTAAAGCATGTTCCCAACATGTTTTACACATTTTAAAGCATCTTTGAAACATGTTTTAGACTTCTGGGAAGTGTTTAGCAGCATGCTTCCTCTCCATTACTCGACGTCCACAACCCGAGGCTGGCCTGGAGTCCGTGCTCGACGGCCCCGGTGCCAGGTCACGGCCCCCCGAGGGCCTAAGCCTTGCCCAAAAGTCCCCCCCCCGCGTCGTGACTCCGTCTGCGGCGCGACGGCGTCGCAGAGAGCAGGAGCGCCACCCCCGTACGAGCCGCCTCGGCGGCACGCGAGGCCGTTCCGCACACGCGCCCCAAGAAGGAGGCGCGCGGGGCAGGGCTGTTCGGTAAACGCCAGGGGCCGTTTCGGTGAACGCCAACTTGTCGGGTCCGCTTGCCTTTATGTTTCCTCCCCTGACGTCAGGGGAGCGAGCGGGAGGATGCAGCGGAGGGCGAGGGGGAGGCGCAGAGAGGAGAGAGAGAGTGGGAGAGCGAGCGGGAGGGCACAATCGTCGTGCCACCACCAGGGACGCTCAAGTTCTCCAGTATGGGATCGACTACAACATTGATATACTCCAAAATCGGCCAGTTCGTCGAATCTACGCAACATATCAGAATGCCCCGTATATCTATGAACCAAATCTACAAACTTCTCGTACAAATGCCACATGCCAAGGTAAATCTACTCTGTATCGGCAAGACGTAAAATTCGGGTTCGGGGGACTCGCGTTGGCCTGACGGGACCAGCATAAAATGACGAAGCCCCATCTGAAGTTTGACGCCACCTCCCGCTGTAAACATCCCACGAAAACTTGACCGTCAAAACCCAAGACGCGCTCGTCAAAACGCGCTGGCAAACCCGAGTCCCGGCGTACTCGAGTCTTACGTTTCCTCGACTGTCGGCGGCGAGCGAGGGGGGGAAGTGAGAGGGGGCGGGTCTTCTCAGACGGCTCGAAGTCCCCCGGCCGCCTGAGAAGTTGTCTAGCTCAGAAGGCGTGGGGGCTTCTGAGAAGTCCCGCCGTCTTCTGAGAATCGGGGGCGCGCAAAGATGGATTAGCGATCCATGGATTTGGCGCGCGGTCGCCAAATCCATGGATCGGCAGAGGTGCCCTCCCCAAAATGCGGCCGGTGCCGCCCCGTTCGGCGGAGGAAATCCGCGATTTCCCTTGGAAACGGGACCCGTCGCCAATCCACGCCCCCTTAATCCATGTTTGCGATCGCTTGAAAGAAGGCCTCCTCCTTCTTACTTCC